ATTTCAGTTATGTTAGATAAATACATTCTGGAGATCTACTATACAGCACAGACCAACAATTAACAATACTCTATTATATACGTACTTAAAGTTTGCTAAGAGGATAGATCTCATGTTACCTGTTCTTATCAGAATACAACTAATAATAATGATAAAGGGGAGAAACCTTAGGAGGTGATTAAAATGGTTATTGCCTTGGCAGTGGTGATACTTTCACAGTTGTATAATTATATGCAAATCATTGAGCTGTAGACCATAAATTTGTACAGGTGTTCAATCATACTGCAATACAGTGGGTTTTGTAAAAACTCTTCCTGTGTACAGGTGAAAAGGGGAATAAGTGTATCACAGCTTCCAGCATATTCTCCTCACTACACACACACACACACACACACACACTCACGGAAAGGTTTAGGAGATCAGACAAAGCACACTGATGATTTGCAGTAGTTCCCCTCACACCATTGCTTCTCTTCCCTCCACAGCCCTGACTTACTCTTATCCTAATGCCTCAGAGAAAGGCATTCTCTAAAAAGCCTCTCAGAATCCTCTTCTGGCTCTTTCACTTCATTCATTTGAGAGGTTGCTCCTACTCAGACCAACCATGCAAGGTCCACTCTAGCAGCAGAGGTCTCCAAAGATCCTAGAGAGAGGAACTTCTGTGAATCAACCACTATTGTTGGCTTTTTTTCCTTAAGATTTATTTATTTGTTTATTTGAAAGGAAGAGAGAGGGGCAAGCACTGTGGCACAGTGGGTCAAGCTGCCTCCTGCAGCACCAGAATCCCATATGGGCATCAGATCTAGTCTCAGCTGTTCCATTTCTGAACCAGCTCCCTGCTGGTGTGCCTAGGAAAGCAGTGGAAGATGGTCCAAGTGGTTGGACCCCTGTACCCACATGGGAGATCCAGAAGAAGCTCCTGGCTTTGTTCTGGACCCTCCCAGGCCATTGCAAGCCATTAAGGGAGTGAGCCAGTGGATGGAAGATCTCTCTCTCTCTCTCTCTCTTTCTCTCTCTCTAACTCTGCCTATCAAATAAATAAAAGAAATCTTAAAATATATATAGTTAAAAGCATAACAAATTTGTTTAAGAAAGAAAGAAGAAAAGAAAGGAGAGAGAGATCATCAAAATGGCTGCAATAATTGGGCCAAAGCCTGGAGCCTTGAACTCCACTCAGGTCTCTTGTATGGATGGCAGGGGCCCAAGTACTTGGGCCATCCTCCACTGCTTTCCCAGACACATTAGCAGGGAGCTGGATAGGAAGTGGAGCAGACAGGACTCGCACCAGTGCTCATGGATGCCAGCATCACAAATGGTGGCTTAACCCAATGCACCACAATGCTGGCCCCCAGCACTACAGTTAATATGGTCAAAGGCACTAAGATTTGAGAGTCCTAGGAAGTAGGTGGAGCTTCCAGCTCCACCATGTTCCACATTTTCTTCACCTAAGAGTGAGAGACCTCCCTGGATCTCTGAATCCTGTCCGGGGGAGGGATGGTGTAGACACCTTGCCTTTGGCAAGCTGCTCCCTCCAGGCCCTTGCCCACACACGAGAAAGGGGTAGAGTTACAAAGCACCGTTGCTCAAGGTGCTGCAGCAGGTCACCTCTCTACCCATTTTCTCATTTCTTGGCATTGATTTCTAGAAAAGCAAGGGTTTTCCATGCTAGTAGAAGTCTGTCAAAAAACTTTTTCTTCCACTGAAAATCACACTATAAGGTGGTTCTCAACTCAAAGTTGATGAAGCAGGAAGTCTGATGAATGTTCTTCCATCACATACATTGACAGGAGCTACCACCAGTCTTATGTGTGAGGTAGCATATTCCTGGCTTCTTCTGAAACAACTAATATCAAACAACATATTTTCATTCTAAGGCTATCTTGTCTACCTCTAAGCAATTTCCAAAACTTCATTCTAAATTTAAATGGAATTTCCAAAGTCATCATGATTCATGGCAGATCCCACAGACCCCTAATCTCCCTGCTTGATGCACCCTGCAGTTTAAAAGTCATGATGATGCCATATTCTTGGTTCACTTTGCCCCTTGATTTGACAGATACCGGACAGAACACCAAAATTAAATGCAGATGTCAGATGGGAACTCAGGAATCTGTTTGAATTAGGACAATCCCCAATTCTCCAGGACTGTGAAAGGCAGTGCTCTGTGATTCCTGCCAGTGCACAGGCCTGGCTTCCTTAGGCTTCTGCTCTGCACTCCCACACATCAGTCCAAGAAGGACGCTGAGTCTGCTCACTGACTTCTACAAAAATCTACACACATCCAAACACATTTTGAGTTGAGAACCTTTAGGAAGACTTAGAACTGTTTCACAGGGAAGGATCACACCCCACTTTTCTCCATTTTTCTTCTTTCTCTTTCTCACTCCACCCCCAAACTACCATTGCTTTGCTATCCACAAAACAGTCCTGTGCTCAGTCAGAATCCCTAGCTCAGAGAAGAAAGCCAGTTCAGTATTGAACCTATTCTGTTAGAGATGACTATGGATCAACCAGTTTGGGGTGTCCAGCTACCAATCAAACATCAACTGAAAAACATTCTCTCTCTCTCTAAGAGGCATAGTTATAGATAGAGAGAGGGAGATACAGAGAGAGAAAGATCTTCCATCCACTGGTTCACTCCCCAAATGCCACAATAGCTAGAGCTCGGCCGATGCAAAGCCAGGAGCCAAAAGTTTCTTCTGGTTCTCCCATGCTAGTGAAGGGGCCCAAGCACTCAGGCCATCTTCGACTGCTTTCTCAGGATATCATCAGGGAGCTGCATCAGAAGTGGAGCAGGGGCTGGCGCTCCACTAGAGGGTAAAGCTGTCACCTGCAGTGCGGCATCTCCTGTGGGCACTGGTTCTAGTTCTAGCTGCTCCACTTCTGATCCAGCTCTCTGCTATGGCCTGGGAAAGCAGTGGAAGATAGCCACAAATCGTTGGGCCCCTGCACCAGCATCAGGGACCTGGAAGAAGCTCCCAGCTCCTGGCTTCAGATCAGCGCAGCTCTGGCTGTTGCAGCCATCTGGGAAGTGAATCAGCAGATGGAAGACCTCTCTCTCTCTGCCTCTGCCTCTGCTTCTCTGTAACTCTTTCAAAAAATTTCTTTAAATCTTAAAAAAAAAAAAGATGTGGAGTAGCTGAGACTAAAACCAGTGCTCATATGGGATGCCAGTGCCACAGGCAGAATTTTTTTTTTAACAGATAGAGTTAGTCAGTGAGAGAGAGAGACAGAGAGAAAGGTCTTCCTTCCGTTGGTTCACCCCACAAATGGCCACTACAGCCCAGCGCTGCACCAATCCGAAGCCAGGAGCCAGGTGCTTCTTTCTGGTCTCCCATGCGGGTGCAGGGTCCAAGCACTTGGGCCATCCTCCACTGCCTTCCCGGGCCACAGCAGAGAGCTGGATTGGAAGAGGAGCAACCGGAACTAGAACCTGGCACCCATATGGAATGCCAGCGCTGCAGGCGGAGGATTGGCCAAGTGAGCCACGGCGCCGGCCCCAGCACAGACGGATTCTTAATCTACTATGCCACAGTCTCAGCCCCCAAAAAAACATTCTCAATGTCAATGAAGATCAATGCTCTCCTGTTGATTGCACCAATTTCTTGTTCACTTGATTCTTATGCCCCGAGCTTTCTCTATGCATTTTAAATATTGTCCCATTTGTTTTTGTGAATCAGTTCCATGAAGGGAACTTTTATTTCACCCACTATAGTATGAAGTCCCTACAATCAGCCATAGGACTTTTTCTTTATCTTCCTTCTCTAACTTCTGTTATCATCATGTGCTATACACTGTCAGCCAGCACTGTCAACTGTGTGACCTGCTAACTAGGGAAGAGTCCTTGTAATTGGGAATTGCTTCAGGAATTCTGGAGTTAGATATTGTAGAAACATTCGGAAGGGGGATACTGAGGTGACTTGGCTTTGGGGAAGGAAGAAACAAGAGAAAACATGCAAGAAGGGAACAAGAGAGAAAGAATATGGAAGCAGAGAACACGGGACTTTTGAAGAAGAAACAAGGACATATGTCAGGTTAGTCGGGGCAGGCTGAGCCTCTCTACTTGAAACCCATGGGGAAAAGAGTCCTGCTTCAAATATTTTTAGGTGGAATCAGCAGAGCAAAGCATAGGATTGGCAATAGAAGTTGAATTGATTAGGTTGAACTAAATCATGTTGCTAATATGCAACTGTTTTTCACCTATGGAGATAATAATGTCATATGACTCAACCATATCTAACTAACCAGGAAATTCAATTTCACAAGGGTAATGGAAAATAATTGTTGGATATATGACTCTTTTTTTTTTTGCTTAGCATTTGTAAGTTGAAAATACAAGCAAACACTAAAGTTATTACTTTAAAAAAGACAAAAATCAATTGTTTTCACTTGCCTCTACTTCTTTTATATTTATATGCATGGATTCAAATACATGCTTTACATTAACCGTGTATGTGTGTTCTAACAAGAAATGTACTATATAATTCCTCTAACTCTCCAGCAAGAGGCTATTAGGAGGGCCAGGTAAGGTCTTTTAATTTGCATATATGTATGCTACAATATGTCCAAAGCCCATGAGAGTAGAGTGGAAAAGAGGTCACTTTGATGGGCATTCAGGCAAGGCGAAGGAATAAAATGACAAACGAGATCTGTGTCAAATTTTTTTCTTTGTCTTAAAAAATGAAAATGGAGGTGCAGTGGGGGAATGGATTTGCTAGAATTAAACATTTAAAAATCAATAGAAGAAATCTGTGATCAAATGGAAACACAATTCTTATCAGATGAAAATATTGCCCATGGATGCATAGACATCATTCTTCAACACAGCACACTAATGAACTGGGATTCTGAGCCAGTGAGTATGAAGAATAATAATACCATAACTATATATATGGCTGGCTTGAGAATTTCTGTTTTGCAATTTTACTTGCTCCAAGAAATGACAAATTGAGGTTTAACAAATACAATAATTTTTGGTCTTTGTTTATTTCTTTTTAAAGGAAAAAGAAAGAACAAAAACTTCACAGTTGGGAATAGAAAATACCTCATGGATATGGGTTTTATTGCAAGCTCTGCGTCTGAGTTAAAGATGTTAATGCTGAATTCGCCCACCAAGATCAAAACTCCTACAAAACTCTTCCAGCTGCAGCATTTATGGCTCCAGGTTTTGTTTCAGAAAGTGAGGAATATGTTCCAGGATTATGATCTTATTTCTCTTTCTTGCCTGTTGTAAGCATAACTGTAGCCTGCACTTTTAATGCTATGGAAATGTTCAGTTGGCATTGTTTTTCCCACAGCCATGGAAACACCTGCTTCCAAATTAATTTATAATCTATTTTACACCTATGGCTGCAAGCCACATTCTAGCTTTTTTTTTTAAGAATTTTGGTAAAGCATATAAGAACATTTATAATGTCTGCTTCTTCTCCTTTCTGTTCCTCATGACATAATGTTGGATTTTATACATTTCATATTATGTCCAGCTTTTTAAGATGTTAATAATATGTAAAGATATGTGATATGTCAGAATATATGTAGTTTTTTCTGGGCCTTTTAAAGCATATCCCAACGCAGATATTTTACACTGCTCACACTTTTCTTGACTCTCATCCCGATTTCTCCTTTTATTTGGCCAGACTAAACCACGCAATAAAATATCTTTTGAGTTACTTTAACAAAGGAAGAAATCTGAGTGTGCCCACAACCTTACTAACTTCAAATATGAGTGATTCACTTCTGTAGAAATATGTATTCCCCGCTTAGGTTTTCTGGTAAGGTAAAGAGAAGAAGTCTTTAATACATCCCAGGTGATGCTGTGGAAGAAGGATTATGAAACTCAGCTTAACTACTGTTTCCTTGACTTGGCTTTACTCTATTTATCAGTTACAAGGGGCACAGTATTTCATAACTGAAACAATATTTAAGCTACATTAAGTATTACACTGAGATGGTATGGGACTGGTACATGTTAATTTTTAAATGTATCTTAACATATTTTTTAAAATATTTTGGGGCAGTAAACATTCCTTTCTCAAAACAAAGAAACAAAACTGAATCAAGTTCCCAAATCAAGGATGAATCATAATTGATGAGCATCAAATTAAAAATTATCACTTTCTTCCTTCCCCTTCTGAAAGGTGGTCTCTGTAGCATAAAGACACAAATATTTTCAGTCCCTAAAAGTTTCATGTGGCACTGTTTTAAGACAAGAAGCTTTTGTTGCCATCAAAGCCATCATTTGTGATTATTTAAATCCTCCTATCAGTTAATGAATAGGACAAAAATGGAGTTGACTAATTTTTTAAATTAGTGTCTATTGTGGCAAAAATGTCCTACATGAAGGACTTTGAGGGGTGAAACCCCAGGGGAAAGAAGTGGTCATCAAAGGAGGTACTTTTCTCTGAAGGGAGGAGAGAACTTCCACTTTGCATGGCCTCGTCTAAATACTGATGGAGTTTGTGAATTCAGAAGGCTTTCATAGCCTAGGCAGCTCATGTCAACAGCCTCGGGTGATCACTGACATCATACATGAGAGTGTTAAGTGTTAAATTAACAAGAGTCACTGTGTACTAACTTCCCATGCAGGACATCTGTCCTCAAAGAGTTGTATTATAATTATGTCTAAGTGTTCCCAAAAGACATATCATTCTTGGGTGCTTCTTTCCACCTGCGGTGCCAGCAACCCATTTGGGCACCAGTTCAAGTCCCTGCTGCTCCTCTTCCAATCCAGCTCTCTGCTATGGCCTGGAAAGCAGTAGAGGATGACCCAAACACTTGAGCCCCTGCACCAGCATGGGGGACCTGGAGGAAGCTCCTTGCTCCTGGCTTCTGATCGGCTCAGCTCTGGCTGTTGTGGCCATTTGGGGAGTGAACCAGTGGATGGAAAACCTTTCTCTCTGTTTCTCCCTCTCAATGTCTATAACTCTCTCAAATAAATAAATAAAATCTTTCTAAAAAATAGTTATAAAGTTAATTAAGTTTCTAAAAAAAGAAGTGAAATTAACTTCAAGATGCAATGATTTTGAACAGGCCTTGTCCCAACTGTTGAGGAACAGGGTTTTTTTTGTTTGTTTTGGTTTGCTTTGGGGATTTTTTGCTGTGCAAATTGTTGAACTCTTTACTTAGTATAGAGTTGGTCTTCTGTGTATAAAGTTAATCAAAAATGGAAGAAAAAAATTAATGTCTAAAGGACTTGTAACCAATATTACACAGCAATCCTTTTTTTCCTCATTAAAATTTCAAGCAATAGAATACACATTGATTTTACTAGAGATCATTAGTATTTAAGTTTTTTGCAATGTGAGATATAGGTCTCAATCATTTGAAGTCTCATGGGATTACGTTGTTGTTGATGTTGCATCACTGTTGTTTGTCATGTGGGCCTGCAAGTTCACACAAGAGTGTCAACAGAGGATGTCTTTACAATGCACAGACTTAGACTCATAACCCAATCCCTTTGAGTCCTGAAGCATTGTTGCTTCACTTGTCTACCTTTGCAATCTTTTAAATTAAGAAGGGAAAGATTCTAAGGCAGAAGAAACAAATAACAGGTACATAAGGAGCCTTGACTTTATAGGAAGGGATTAGCAACACTATCTTGTAAAATGATGAGAAGTCATTGCCTAATTGGTAAGCCATGCCCTTCAGAAGACAATATTAGTCACCTATTTATTACTTTTTCTTTCATGTATTATATTTATTTTTCCCGGCTTAAAGAGCCTTCATGCCATGCCACATTGACTAACAGTGATGGATTGGGAGGCTAGATTGTAAAACCTCAAGACTTAACTCTGACTTACAGAGACATACAAGAGTACTTCAAAAGGTTCATGGAAGATGGAATTAAAAGATAAGTTTATTTTGTTGCAAAAAAAAAAAAAAGATCCATGCCTAGGTTTTTCATAATATGCATCTTCCATTTGAAGATGCTCTCATATTGTAACAGCTTTACAGACCACGGGTAGATGAGTTAGTTGTGAAAATAAACCTTTACACTCTTTCATATGTGTAAGGTACTTACTGTTTGAGTCACTGTCGTTCTATTAGCTCATTTTAGTTAGAGAAAATTAAATTTTACTTTGGTTTCCCATTATGGGGGCAACAGAATGGTTCATTGCCTTTTCTGTTGGTATTTTTCTTCCAAATTTTTACAAAAACTCTTAAGACATGACTAGGGGAAGATTAAAACTCTGGTACAGGAAGACACCATTGACGACTGATACCTTTTGATTATCACCTACAGTGAAACATCTGTGAGAACCAAGTTCTTCTCCTTCCCTGCCATTCTCTCCAACTCCTCCCTCCCTGGGTCTTTTTCCTTCTCCTAAGGAATTCTCCTAAAAACGGGCACACTACAAGGTTGAGTCTTCAGGCTGCTGTCAATCCCTGCTTTTTTAAGGAATCTTGATGGATAAAAGCCTCTATTACCATAATAAGCTGGTGGCTCCCAAGTCCACATTTCCCATCCTAATGATCCATAAGAATTCTTGGCCTAAGCTTACATAATGCCACTAATGTGTTCAAACCTCATCATTTCCTAACAAACAACTCCTTTTCCAAGTCCCCTACCTTAATTATGCATTACTGTAACTCCTTTGCATACATCCAAACTCATTTTCCCCTTCTCTCCATTATTTTTCTTCAAAAAATTAACCACCAGCTAATATACTATGTATTTTATTACAAACCTTGATGATGTCTTGAAAAGATACTACTTGTTCCCCCAAGGCCATTTCCCATCATCTCAATCTTTTTCTACCTTTCTCCTTCTTGTAAGAGGTTAGAAGCCTTCCTTGTTTATATTCTTATTATCTATTTGTCCCTCAGTTGAACATAAGTTCCATGAGGTCAGAGAGTTATCAATGCTTTTGTCCACTGGATGCCAGCACTGAGAACATAGGAGGAACACAAGACGGTGGAAATGCATAAGTGAAAGAACAAAGCCACAGTGCTTTCTAGGACCTCTGGATCACAAATGTTACAATTATATTTCAATCTGGATTTACATCTGCCCTGCACATCTAATCAGTTACAGAGTCCTATGACTTGGCCTTTCAACATTTTGTTTCCACCAAGTCCAAACCCTAAATGCTTCAGACGTAGATTTAAAACAAGTCTCCAGGATCTCTCCATTTCAATTACTTCTTCCAGATGAATCTTTCTAAAGCTCTAGTTTTCATCACTCTACAGATTCTAAAAGCTTCCATACAACTTCTAAAATCCCCCATAACCTTGTCTTTGATACATTCTGTCTTTACTGATGCATTCGATCCCAATTACTACTCATCATTCTTCTTTCTCACCCACTTACGTTGAACTTCTGACTAGCCACCTCACATGAAATGTTCTTTCCTACTTCAAGGCTTTTACTGCTAGATACATGTACTCCCTTCCCACAATTTATCCAAATTCTATAAATTTTTTTTGAAATCCAATTCCCTGTGTTCCACTGGGCTCTTTGAAACCATCACCAAAAACCACAGCCCATACTGATTCCTGCTTGTCTGGCCTCTGGAAATACATATCGTCAGCGTCTCATAATCCATCACTCTGTTAGTCAGAGGTTTCACGGCTTCCCTGGGCTCTCGGGTAAGATGATAACACAAGTAAAGCTGAATCATTCTTATCAGAGGTCTTAAATCAGTGCTGCATTCTACAGAAACCTACATCCAAAACCCCAACATACACTTGAAAGCATCTTGAATTTTTACTGAGATTTTTCAGGTAGTTAGCAAATATCTCAATGTTCCACATTTCCCCTCATTATCTCTGAAGTCTTCCTAACAGTTATTCAATTACCAGTGGGCTCTCTCCTTCTCATTTATATTCTCTACCTGTAAAACTCTAGTCCACGTTGCTTTTCTGTTTCTTTCATTGTCACCTTGCGTATCAACCCTGAATCTTTTATTATTCCAGGAATGGCTCTGCCCTCTGTCTCTTGTATATCGATTTAGACTTTTGAGGTTCTTTCCAATGTTATATACAGATATTAACCAAAACAAAATCCCAGCCCCTACAACTGTTGAAATAAAGAGGCATCATCCTCCTTCAGAAGTAGAAACAGAAGAAAAACCATCAGTGTTTAATAGGCTAACTTATTTTATATTCCTGTCCTACTTTTCCTCCGGTTAAATCTTGGTGGGTTTCTGAAAAGGGTGCACTACTTGTTCTTCCTAGGGCATTTCCATCAGATCCCAACCCCCTCCTGCCTTTCTCCTTTCTCCTCCTCCTTTCTCTGTGATGTTGGGAGACTCATCTTAACAAGCATCATTGTGGGATAGACCAAGCTAGACAATGACCTCTCTAGCCCGAAGCTCCTGCTGCATGCCCCCCACAGGCAGTAATCTGTGATTTCCAGACCTCTGACTCCCTCACATGAGTGCCCTGCCTAGGCCAGCCCCTCCCTCCTGATGCTTTGTCCTCCGCCACAAAAAAAAAGATAATCAAATATCCAAGTGATTTTCTCACAGTTTCATGACTCTGCTGTATTTGTGGGTAAAACAGGCTACAATGTGACCATGGGGCCACCTCGGTGCCACTGAGTACTGCAAAACCCAAACCTGAAGGTGTCTGGCCGTGGAAATACTCCACAACAGAGCAGGAGAGGAAGAAAACGGTAGGCCATGCAAGTGGAAGGGCAGTGGTGAATGCAAAGGCTATTTTCACGAGTACACAGAGGACGCCCACAGACATTTTCCATCATAACAGAGGGGCACTTTGGAAGCGCTAAGGTCTGTCAATACAGACAGCATAGGAACAGAACTAGGAACACAGTGATACTGTTCATGTGATTCCTATTTTATTCCTTGGCTCTGCAACTGGGAAAACAAAGTTGCATGGAAAATAAAATAATCACATCCATGTCAAAGTGCTCTTGTAATATTTACAGTATGTGGAAAGTATGAACCCTGAGCCAGGCACATAGTAGGAGCATAACTGTTCTCTACCTACTCCTCTTCCCAGACACCCCTGCCTTTCCAAGTGAGGGCTCCATATCTTCCAAGAATCTATCCATTAAAAAATATTCATCAGGCACTTACTAGGCATTGGAAATACAGTAGTGAATAGGACAGAAATAACTGTAGCTTACAAGCAAGTTAGGCACAGAGCAGGTGCTTAATAAATATCTGTGCATTGACAAGACCAATCCTAATAGTCTCATCTCCTCCACTGGAATCTGCATGTCCCAGAGTTCTCTAACCAGGATTTGCTATCACAGGAAGCAGTTAATGTTGACTTAATGCTTAAGGATAACCAAGAGATGGAAATAAGAATAAGTATCCTGGGGAAAAATAGAGAGATGAGAGACCTAGAATGAAAATGCATTGCTAAAATGTCCTTCCACATCAATAGGAAGTAAATCTGGTAAATTCTAGGAGGAGTAGTATCAGGATTTACCATATCAACCCATGCCAAAATCCATCATAAATCAAAGTAGGAAAGGTCAAATGAAAATGTTTACTATTGAGATTTATCATCATTGTATGTATATTATTCAAGCAATACAAGTTAATTTTCCACCACAGTTTATAAAAACTTTAAAAGGGTTCAAATTGGGACCAGTGCTGTGGTGTAAGTTGGTAAAGCCTCTGCTTGCAACAACAGTATCCTATGTGGGCACCAGTTGGAGTCCCAGCTTCTCTACTTCCAGTCCAGCTCCCTACTAATGCCCTGGGAAAAGCAATGGCAGATGATCCACGTGATTGGGCCCTTGCTGCCCATATGGGAGACTTAGATGAAGCTCCTGGCTCCTGACTTCAGTGTGGCTCAACCCTGGCCATTGTGGCCTCTAGGGAGTAAACCAACATATGGAAGCTTTCTCTCTCTCTCCCCCTCTCTCTCCCTCTCTGATTTTCAAGTAAAATAAATCTTTTAGAAAAGAGATCAAAGTATAATTGGACTCCATTTATACAAAGGAGATTGAACAAGGTGAAGGTTTACGGGGCTGGCATTGTGGTGCAGCAGGTAAAGCCACCACCTGCAGTGCTGACATCCCATGTCACAATTTCAAGTTCCTGGCTACTCCACTTCCCACCCAGTTCCCTGATAATGGCCTGGAAGAAGCAGCAGGAGATGGCCCAAGTGCTTGGGCCCTGCTACCCATGTGGACGACCTGAAAGTTCCTGGCTCTTGGCTTCTGGCTTCAGCCTGGCCCAGCCCCAGCTGTTGTGGCCATCTGGGGAGTAAACCAGCAGACAGAACATATTTCCCTGTCTCTCCCTCTCTCTCTGTACCTCCATATGTGTGTGTGCATGTTTGTGTGTGTGTATGTTTGTGTGTATGTATGGCCTTAAATTTTAAAAAAGATCAGCAAATTGCTGTTTCTGTGATTTTCTAATATCTTATGATCCATTTGGCACAAAACAGCCTATACTATAAACCATATATTCTTTGGTCTTATACTCCAACAAAACATTTTTTCATTCAACAAACTTTTATTGACTATTATCATGAACTCTTCTATTTCCTGGAGAGATGATAATGATTAAGCCAAAATATCATGTAACACAGTGTCTACAGCCTAGAGGGGACAAAAAAGAAATACAACAGCATGTCAGCAGTGATCAGTGAAAGAACAGTGAATTCTTCCTAGGGAAAGGAGGTGATCAAAATGTCCCAGGAAAAGTGGTTCTTATTAAGTCCTGAAAAATAAATAGGAATTTGTCAGGTAGATGTGAATAGAGGTAAGGAATACCATCCCAGGGGCAGAAATCTGAGGAGAGGCAGATTCTGGACACCACACAGAGTAGCTGTGTATATTTGTCCCAAGTGACGAATTTGCCATCAGTTAATATTTTCAATAATGGACAAGTAAGGATTACCTAACTCATCTCTGTATTTTCTGTAGATCCCATGGCACATAGTAAGTGACCAATAAATATTTCTTCTTTGTTGCATTAAGACTTGACCCTCTGTGAAAGTACTCTGAAGAATTTTTAAGGTGAGAATGACGTAACTAGGTTTGGGTTTTAAGAAGTATTGCTGAACATCTCTGCAGAAGGTGAGCTGGAGGAGAAGAAGAAAGAAAGCAAGGAGATAAGTTTCAAAACAACTACAAGAAATGATGAGACCTGCACCAAGGCATCACTGGAAGTTGGAGAGGATAGAAGAATTTGAAAAATGATTTGGGAACTAGAACTGGTAGTGCCACGTGACTATTAAAGATAAGAGGTGAGGCAAGGAGGGCAGCCTCGAACAGCTCCCAGGTGTCTAATACCCAGGAGAATACTGTGCTTCCAACAATATACGAAATACAAACAAATATGAAACTGTTCACCATAAACACAGTCACATGTATGTATAATAAAAGTTCTGAGCTAAATAGAAGACACATGTTGGAAAGGTTGGGATTGTTTTATAATTCATTTATTCATTCAAAGAATATTTAATGGGTTCCTGTTCTATATCACACATTATATCCAGTGGTGATTGGGGATATAACTGTATGGAAAAATATATAGTCCATACCTTTGTGGAGCTTATGGCTTCGTGTAGAAGGTAGGGTATCAATTATATCATAGGCAGATAGGCGATAAGACTTTAAAAAGCCTTATTAAGAAGATTCTCCTTATCCTGAGAGCAATGGAGGGCTATGGAAGGGTTTTTAAGACCAAATAAGATTTTCACTTAAAAAAGATTACTCTGGCTATTGTGCAGTGGATTATGGTACACTAGAGGATCCAGGCCAGAGGCAACTGAATCTTTTTTTTTTTTTTTTTTTCGTTTTTTTTTTTTTTTTATTTGACAGGTAGAGTCACAGACAGTGAGAGAGAGACAGAGAGAAAAGTCTTCCTTCCATTGGTTCACTCCCCAAATGGCCGCTACAGCCGGCGCTGTGCTGATCCGAAGCCAGGAGCCAGGTGCTTCCTCCTGGTCTCCCATGCAGGTGCAGGCGCCCAAGGACTTGGGCCATCCTCCACTGCCCTCCCGGGCCACAGCAGAGAGCTGGATTGGAAGAGGAGCAACCAGGACTAGAACCTGGCACCCATATGGGATGCTGGTACCACAGGTGGAGGATTAATCAAGTGAGCCACAGCGCCTGCCCTGGCAATTGAATCTTAGATTCCAAAGAATGGTGCTCACCAGTATTGGCTATTTTGGTTGTTTATAGCCAGTTTCCATACTTATAGGTCCATGTCTTGTGCCATATAAGACTTTCAATATTTCCTCTATAAACCCACTGCTGAGGCTGATGTTGGTGGTATAGCAGGTTAAGCCAACTATGATGCCAGCATCTAATGCTAGAGTGTAGGTTCAAGTCTCAGCTGCTCCACCTCTGATCCAGCTTCCTGCAGATGCATCTGAGAAAGCAGCAGAAGATGGCCCAATGAGTGGGTCCCTGCCACCCATGTGTGAGACCAGGACAGAATTCCTGGCTCCTGATAGCATCCTGGCCTAGACCTGGTTATTTCAGCTATTTGGGGAATCAACCAGTAGATGGAAGATATCTCTCTCTCTCTCTCTTTCTCTCTCTCTTTTTCTCTCTCTTTCTCTCTCTCTCTCTCTCCCCCACACACACACCTCCCACCCCATCTTCTCTGTCACACTGCCTTTCAAATACATACATCTTTTTTTTATAATCCACTGCTAAGGAGGTGGTGGTGATGGTGATAGAGGGAGGTACATGAAAGAGGTTTCTGGGAGGTAGAACTCATCCCCTTTCGGGAAGCCAACAAGATTTACCCCTGGTTACCAACTGCCTCTGGCTATTGATCCAGGGTGAGTTAAGTGTAGTAAGGATACAGGAGGGCCAGAAAAGAGCCCACCCCCTTGGCAGCAGTAAAAGGCCATGCTGGGAAGTGCCCACCCCCTTTTTTATTTCTATTTCCCCCAGGCACTTGGCCACTTCCATCTCAAGGAACAACACCACTTAGCCTTTTGGTTTATAAATGAAGAAAATTAGGCTTTGAAAGTACATAACATTCCCAGACCAGTTCATCTATTGTAAAACAAATTGTCAGATTCTTGTTTCATTACACAGACAGGCCAAAGATTTGGTCAATGCTGCACGTAACACATGTTGCTCTCTGACCATCGTGATCAAATCCAAGCTGAATGTTTTGTCCAAGTCTGTTGCCTCTCCTTCACTCTGCCTTATGTTCCTTGGGCTATTCACAGTACCCAAAGCAAGTAGAGCAAATGAAACTCACCAATTTGTTGCTTATTGCAACTCAACTCAGATAAAAGTCTCAGCTGATAGGGGGATAATTAAACCTTTGTTCTAAATGAGCTTATAGGATTATCTCCAGCTTTTAGCTCTCCATGCCATTTTTGTCCCCAGGGATCAAATATAATCTTATGTTGGCTAGAAGCAGGACTTGGCAAGCAGGGAGCTGGCAAAGAAAAACTAAGGCAAAAATCAATAACTAGTCAATATATTCTTATGCAGCAGCTGCTTCTTGGAAATCATTGCACTACCTTTTATAGAGAGTATAAGCTGTTGTACCCTCAGGAAGCACACAAGCTTGATTTTAAAAAGGAAGAATAAGAAAGAAAGAAAGAAGAGAGAGAGGCACAATTACTAAGCGATATGCAAACTGCATCAATTGAAGCACAATCAATGGCTTTTTTTTAAGATTTATTTATTTCAGAGCCAAAGTGAAGAGAAATGTATCTTCCACCTGCTGGTTCACTTCTGAAATGGCCGTAATGGATGGGGATGGTCCAGACTGAAGCCAGGAGCCTGGAACTCCATTCTGATCTCCCTCAAGGGTGTCAGGGGCCCAAGCACTTGGGCCATCTTCTGCTGAATTCCCATGGACATTAGCAGGGAGCTGGATCCAAAATGGGACAACCGGGACTTGATCCTGCACCGATGTGGCATGTAGTGCACAGGCCACTTCTCATCCTGCTGCACCACAACACTGGCCCCACAACCAGTATGTCTTTGAAGGTCCTAAAGGGGAGGTGCAGTTTAGGGAGTGGCCAGAAATATGTCTGGAGCTGTCAGTGTCGGCAAGTTGTAAAAGGGAGACAGCCCAAGATTGAACAAATGAATTGGGACAGCAGAAGATAAAGGATGGGGCTTTTTGGCCTTTGTAGGGGTCTGGGAATTTGGAGAGAGGTTGAGGGTGTTTTGTTTGGTTGGTTGGTTGGTTGGTTGGCTGGCTGGCTGGTTGGTTAGTTGGCTGGCTGGTTGGTTAGTTGGCTTTCATATATATTTTTATCAGCTTAACTGGAATGTTTGGAAGAGAGCTAAGAAGAAAGGAAAGGCCTACATTTTCCACTCTGGTAGGAATTTCAGTTTTAAGAAACCTTTTTCTACTTCTATGTAAGAGTCCTAATCAATCTTTACTCTTTTTCAACATTCCAAATGCTGTTAGAGGTTCACAAAAGAACCTTGAAATGGAATTTCATGGAAAAAGCTCCTCTGTGTGACACAATTATGAGAACCCCTGGAATACAATATACACGAGTAATCCAGAGTGTTCCTGCAAAATGGAATTCAAAGACAAGTTTATTTTGGTACAAAAATGTTTTTATCCATGCATGTCTTTTCATAGCACACATTTTCCTGAGCTTTTTCGAGAACCCCCCATGCAGGGATTTCAAACGTCTTTGCACCAAAACAAATGTATCTTTAAATTCCATTTTCCATGAATTTTTGAAGTATTCTCATTTATGAGAGATTGTGAATTCAAAGGTGAAATCAATCAGAGATTCACAGGTATAAGATGTTCATTTTCACGTTTTAGTTTGGAGATTCAAAAGGGAAGGAAGAGTAGGCTGCCTCAGAAGTTCTCTGTGCCAAGGATATGTTGATTTCTGGGGGTCTCAGAGAGTAAGGAGACAGGAGAATTCTCATGCAACTCTAACCAACAGAAATTGCTAGTGATGGGAAACCCATTAAGAAGCTAGAAAGTTTTGTTGTCACCAGAAGCAGGATATTGCATAGGGGTTGGCGCTGTGACGTAGTAAGCTAAGCCTCCATCTGTAGGGCGGGCATCCCATAAGGGTGCTGGTTCTAGTCCCGGCTGCTCCTCTTCCTATCCAGCTCTCTGGTATGGCCTGGGAAAGCAGTAGAAGATGGCCCAAGTACTTGGGCCTCTGCACCCACGTGGGAGACCAGGAGGAATCACCTGGCTCCTGGCTTTGGATTAGTGCAGATCCAGTCATTGAGGCCAACTGGGGAGTGAACCATCGGATGGAAGACCTCTCTCTCTCTCTCTCTCTCTCTCTGCCTCTCCTCTCTTTGTGTAACACTGAATTTCAGATAAATAAATAAATCTTTAAAAAAAAGAATCACAAATCCAAGAAAATGTAGGCAAGTAAATTGAAAACAAGGCATTGTGGACTACAGGTAATGTGGAAAGTTTTCATACAAAAGTAACGTGAATAATAATAGCTCTAGTCTTGAGCATGTATCATTACAGGTGCTATGCTTGGCACATTTCTATATTATCTAATTAACTTTTTACAACTCTATGACAGAATTATTGTTTTCAGAGCTACCAATAAGTAGGGAAGAGGAGATTCTGAGCCTAGCTTGAGCCTGAAATCCACTCTCTTTCCACTGAAGTCTTAGTTCATGGGAGCTATTGAGGTGCTTAGTACGAACTAATATACAAAAGACGGGAAAGGAAGAAAAGAAGGTGGCCAAGGTGGCCCAGCAGATAAACACAGGCAAGTCTAGATGGAAAGCCAGAAGAAGTAGACGCTGCAAGTGTAACTGCAAGTTTTGAGCATTCATAGTAAAGAGACTAAAACATGGAAGTGACCATGAGAATAGACTGGAAGATAAGGAAGAGTGGGAACACAGACAAGAGAGATACTAACACAAAGAGAAGGTGGTGAGTGTCCCAGGGCTGGGTTCCAACATGACAGGCATACTTGGCTTGACAAACCGGAAAGTGCCTGAAAGAAGAAAGCCTGGATGGAGATGAAAGGAAAGAAACAGACACACCCACCTGCTGGAAAACAGAAATGGACCTACAGCAACAGCAGCTGATACCCCGCATTTTCAAACGGGCTGAGCTCTAACACAAAGGAGTGACAGATTGTCAGCAACTGTTTTCAAAAGAAAGCCTATGATCACAAGATCCAGGACATATCTGGATCTACACCACATGTCACTGGGGCCAGCACAAATGAAATGTCTCCACCCCTAGGGGCTCAGTTATGTTACGGGAGTTTATCTCCGAGAATTCTTTGTTTTCCATGCATTCTTGTGGTCTAGCACTGCCATTTCCTAAAGAAGGTTTTCATGTCTCTCATTTTCCCAGCGAGTGAAGTTAGTCATAGAACCAATGATCAGAGCAACCCTAACTCTGCCAGGGTCTAGCCCTGGACAGGATCATGAAGAAAGCCAAGCCCCAGTGGGAG